AACAACGGGCCTTTGTTGCCTTTAAATGCTGTTCAAGAGGTAGGTTACTAATAATTATATGTAATGTATATTAATAATAGTGAAATTTTATTTCATTTTTTGTAGCGTGTTGCTGCTGCTTTAAAAATTAGTTTAAGGACAGTTAGTCGTATTTCCGAGGGTGTGAAAAGTGATGCAAATTTAGAATCGCCCAAGAAAAAGCGGAGTTATATTAAACGTGTAACCAACACAGCGACATTGGATACAAGTGCCATTCGAGAGGTGATCTATAATATGTATCACAAAAGTAAGATCTTATTATAATAACTTATCAGAAATTTGCATTAATTTGTTAACTAAATTATAATGTCATATTACAAATGGTTTCAGAAGAACAAGTTACGATACAAACTTTATGGTCTCGATTAAGAGATAGGGCATTATTTGATGGTAGTGCCACGTCTTTAAGGCAGTTGCTTAGAGATCTTGGATTTAAGTGGCTTAAGGACAATCCGCGACGACGGCTCATGGAACTACCAAGTATAGCTTTGAAAAGGGTGGAATTTCTAAGGCAATACAATCAAGCCAAGGTTGAGGCCTTATACCAGTTTGTCTTCCTCGATGAAACTTGGATATTTCAAAATGGGACCATAGGTCGCTCTTGGCAAAATGGAAACCAAAAAAGCGTGAAAGCTATTAAAACAGATGGTAAAAGGTATGTACTTTTACACAATTTGCACTATAAAATTTAAAACTAATATATTTTAGATACATTATATTACATGCTGGAAATGAAAATGGGTTTATTGAGGGTAGTGAAGCGATATTTTCTTCGAAAACAAAATTGAGCGATTACCAAGGAGAGATGAACCAGGACAATTTTTTGAAATGGTTTCAACATCAGTTATTAGAAAAATTCGAGAGTCCATCTATGATTATACTGGATAACGCCCCTTATCACAGCATGATATTGAACAAAATGCCCAACAATGCATGGACAAAAAAAAATATCCAAGACTGGTTGACAAATCAAAACATACCATTTTAAACACAATGTTTAAAACAGAGCTATTGAGTATTGTTGCTCGGTACATAATGCTTCTTAATTATATATATTTTGGTCGACAGTTTATATTTCTTTTGTTTATTCCTATTCTTAAAATAACTGCTTTTTTAGAAACAAACTACCTAAAATATACGTGATTGATGAATTGGCGGAACAACATGGGCACAAAGTTCTTCGTCTGCCTCCTTACCATTGTATATTTAACCCTATTGAGTTAATTTGGGGCATAGCAAAAGGTTACTATAACAGACATATTGGCAGAGATGGTAACAGTGAAAAAGACTGTTTGGATATGTGGAACGAGGCTCTACAAACGGTTACCCCAGACATGTGGAAAAATAGTGTTCGACATACTGAGCAAGAAATTTTAAAATGGTATGAAAGAGAACGAATTTTTGATCGACCAGACATCGAACCTTTAATAATCAACTTTGAGAGTGATGAAGATTCAGATTCAGACAGCGCTGAAGAAAGAAACTCCGACTAACTTTATTGTACAGAAAAAGCTTGCACCAGTAGCTTATCTAATTTTAGAATGCATTTTTCTGTATGAATTCTGTAAAATAAATACCATGCATAAAATTTGGAGGACCCCATTTGGATTTTTATTCAGTACCTTTAAGCTATCAATTAAATATGGTAGTTTCATAGTGTCATCTGATCAATAATTGTCATACTTAATGATTATGCAAGTACAGATCTATAATTTTATTATACTATTATTTTTGTTCTCATTTGAGGTTAATATTGCTTATAAACCTAGATATGTAAATAATAAATTTTATTATTTTACAAAAAGTTTGGCAACAATGTAAATTTTTCAACACACCCACCTTGATGACGTGCACGCCACTTTGTTTGGCGTTGACTCACGACTATACATTCTTTCCCTGCCCTACCGTGTATGTCTATGTGGCAACGTTGCCACTTTCCATATCGTAATTCGCAGCAGCGCCCATCGAAGTACGACCGCAGTATCAGCCACGAATTACAGCATACTTAATTTATTTCTGCAATGTGTGGTATCAGCAGAACAATCAAGCAGATCCTTACACCGGGCGCTGAGCCTAGATACCAGAAGGAGACACATAGCAAAATCGTTTATCGTTTCTCTATCATTCAAAATTTTAACACCAACTAGATAAAATGGCATAATATATGTACTTTCTGTGCTAAGATAACTGTATGTCATTATCTCGCATTTGCTATTGTTGCATTTACTGTGGTTGCAGTTACTATGATTTTAAGGGAATCTAGAATTTCTGTTTTTTTGTTTATTACTTGAGTAAGACACTATTATAAACTATAGGAATTTAATTTCATAACTTATGGTGAAACCTATGATGTGTGAAATATGGCTAATAGGTGCTTAGAATTACTGGGGCTGGGATCGTATAAATATACTAATAAAAAATGAGATATACCACTTCCACCTCCTTTCTGGAACGTCAAAAAACCAAGTTTGAGCGATTTTAATTCTGTTGTTTTTGGCCTTTTTTTCCGCCGCCACTGAACCGATCTTCAAAAACTACAAAGCTTTTCCGTCCTTGGCATAGTAGTAACCTTATGTAAAAATACCATCCAAATCCGAGCAACACTTTTCAAGTTATAGAAAGGCCAATGATTAGCGGACAGACAGACAGACTGAAATGAGTGACATGGTTTTTTGTGATGTACTTGTCATATAACATCCAAAAACATAAATATCTCAATTTTTCGAGATTACAATAAATTCTTACTCACCCAGTGACCTGGGAAGTAATATCAAATAAATATGGCAACGTCGTTCCGTTTGACATGTGAGTGCAATGACATAACCTGAAAAATTGAAAGTAAACAAAAGCAGATATTACAATCACAAATGATTGCTCTGCTTTCTCCGGTACAAGCTTGGGAAAAATGAAAGCAAAACGCAAGTGAAAAGCCTACTCGTCAACAAATATCCATTAGATATTTCACAGGTATGTACTTCATACCGTTATTAACCCACATAATCTGACCCTGGAACCAGACAATTACTTCGCAGTTTTTCGAATTGTATATAAATAACGTAATTTGCAGCATCCTAACGCTAGTCATGCATTTATCACTGAATTTGATCATTTTCGTCTTGCTGAGTTGTGTGAAATTCGCCCAATTGTGTACCAACGATGGGTACCCCTTTGAGTACTACTTATCTACCATGACACCGTACCGGACTGTTTCCAACAAGGATTTTTACAAAATTCCATTTGATGGTGAGTAATTGCACCCTGTTAATTTGCCAATTTTCTTTGTGTAAACTTTAGAGCACCATTGGAGTTATTGTTTAAATATATTCAGGGAGTTTCCTAATTGAATGTCAGTATATAAATGGGTGAATTTTTTGAGATACAGGGTAGTAAAATTGTTAATACAGAAAGTTACTGGCATGCCAAATGATTGAAACCTGTATTAATTGAGTACATATGATCTCTAGAATTTGTTTGGTATGTCTTCATGGAGATATTGTCATATTAACAATATTGTAATGATCATGCAGAAAAATTGTTTATATTTTTTTTAAAGCAAAAACCATGCATCAGAATGAAAAAATTAAGTGATCTAATTTGCTTAGAAATGAGTGTGGATTTCAAGAATGCCTCTAGATGCATAGTAACAGGATGCCAAATTTCACTAAAATATCTGAAGTAGAATATAATATTAACAGTAAACGATTTATTTTTTAAAACTTTACCACACTGTATGTCAGAACATAAGAAACTTGGAATATAAGTTTTCTTCTTAAAATGGACCCAAAAATCACTCTCTTCAATATTGACATTCAGTTAGGAAACACCCTGTATATTGTAAAGATTTGGGATCATAAAAGGTTCAGACTTTACTCAAAAACAATGTAACTGCCAGTTTTTTTTTTGCTGTATTTATTTAAAGCAGATGGTTAACTGGTCAGTTGTGCAGCAGTTACATATAAACTGGGCACATAATATGAAACATAGCCTAAAAATCATTCTAAATGGCATTCTTATGTAATCAGTTGAAGACATGTAATATTTTGTATGTTCTCTCACTGTGAAATATGATAGGAACATTTCTAACCAGGGCCAAGCTTACATAGTGGCACCTGCTCTGAGACCCCCACCTAAATGGAGATTCAAAACATGAATCAAGGGGATTCAGAGTAAAGAAAAGAAAACGAGTTTCAAAAAGAGCTCCAAAGTTTGCATATTTTTGGAATCTTAATTTTATATGAACAAAAACCATGACTAGTATTTTTACTACTTCTCACGACAAGAGAATAGGAAAGTATTTATATGTGAATTCGAAAATTTTCAAAGCTGTAATATTGGGTTTTTTGTCATTTCCTCCTATTGGTCTGTCAGATTGCTGCTATCAGTTTGGCGATGCTTAACAGGTTTTGAAAATCAACCCAGTAATGGTGGAGTAATCACCAAAAAACTAATAGTGATATCACTCAAATTTTGTAGTAATTCTGACAATTTTCCAACGCAATGATTTTGAAAATTGACATAGTGACAGTGGACCTATGAATACATAATGAAGACTTTTAAAATAAGCCCAAATGCTGTATTTTTGCTCGCTTAGGGCATATTCAAAGAAAATATTTCATTATCACAAATGATGCATTGGACCTGAAATATTGAACAGATTTATATCGTTGTTTGGGAAGTACTGAGTCAATTTACTATCTATTTTTCTGCCAGTAGGGAGAGCCATAATGTTCAAAATATTTAGAAAATGTTTGTTACTTTTTAGATGATTTGTCGTTAATTAGGAATCGTTCCTTCATGTTATGTTCCTAACTTATGAGTTCTATTTTGCATCTTGACATAAAATATATCAAGTTGAAATGTAATTATATACTTCTGCCTAATTGATAAATCAGAAACAAAACTTAGCATTAAGTTACTATAGAGTGGACAGAAAGACCTATAACTGTGTTTAAAAACCACAGGATGTAAAGCAAAAAAGGCATGGATGGTAGTAAGACATGGGACACGAAATCCAAAGGCTGCAACTATAGTAGGAATGAAGGAAAGGTTACCTTTAATAAAGCAGAAAATCCTAGATAGTAGTAGTTTCCCAAATGAATATGTAAAAAATCGCGATTTGGACCTATTCAGAAAGTGGAAACCTTCTGTTCATCCAAAGGATGAAAAAAAATTGGCACATGAAGGTGAGGAAGAGATGTTACTTTTGGCTGAAAGAATGCAAAGCCGCTTTCCAGCTGTATTTGACAATGTCTACACCAACACAACTTATAGGGTAAATATCTATGACACAGTCTACTCTAAAAACAGTTTCAAGAAGTTATCAAAATAGTATGCAAGAGCTCATGATCAGTGCTGTGGAATTGTGGTATCATGATGCCAGAATATTTTGAGATTCACCCAAATGAAAAATTGAAAATTCTAGCTAACAACTAAATTTTGTGCAATTTTTTCCGTATATAAAATGATCTATGCTCGCATATTTTAACTATTTACCTAATTGTCAAGTAAAAATCAGAAAATATGGATTTTCAATGTCTTGTTGAATTGTTCATACAATATAATATTTTCAATATTCAATTCTATGCTAGAAGAGTTTCAGCAAGTAAGAGCATCTATAATCTACACAAAAAATCACAGAACTTTTCCTTGGAGCTAGGGATAAATTATGATAATATAAGAAACTTGAATTTGCAGTTCAAGTACACATATTCGCAAAGGACACAGAAAAGTGCTTACTACTTTGCCCGGGGACTTTTTGGTAAAGCCACTGCAAAATCAGTTTATTATCCTGAACCTACCAAGCAAGATCCAATATTGAGGGTAAGCATATGAATATGTTATAATGTCTTTTAGTTTCATCGACCTATGCTCAGTGACAAAGAGGAAAATGTGTGTTGATCTTCCTTTTAACCATGATCAACAAATAAAGACAATCAACTAAATAATATATAAATTTGTTGCAGTTTTACAAATTGTGTGAAAAGTGGAACAAAAATATAAAGAAAAATCCAGAGACTTTACTCGAAAAAAGGTTATTTGAGAATGGAATTGAAATGAAACAGATTGTAAATAATATTAATCAGAGACTTGGATTTAAATCTTACTTAACTACTGGTAAGTGTCATCAATTATTCATTTAATCAAGAGGCTGTAGGAATGTGCCAATTTCGGCTTTTCAAATCCGATTTGTAAAAAGAAAAACTTGCACACTGGGCCAGATTTGAATACTTACCTGCATTGAACCATTTCACATTGGATGCTGGTCCATGCTGACCCAGTCAGATCTTTTCCGATCCTAATATGTCAGTTATCTTAAGGTTTTAGTATATGTGTTACTAGGAAAATTTGCTATGTAAAGTAAAGACACAACTATGAAGTCACCCTTCATAGTTGTGTTTGACAGTGCCATTGTATGTATGCTTATTTCCATTTTCATAGGATGACTGATTACTGAACAGGTAGACATGAGACAGTTATGAAAATTTGGGTGTTTGGTGTAACTGATGGAGGCAATTTGGCGAAACTATTTTCAATATGGTGGCACTTCCGGTTATATCGCAAGTAGATATCAACTTGTTTATTTTAAATACATTATTAAATTTTTAGATGATATCCGAGATTGTAAAAACATATCATGTATATCATTCTAAATGTAAGACCTATCGTTTTCGAGAAATCTCAAATATCGCGTAATAAATGACAATAGCAAGCCAATTAAACTATTAATGATATGATTTGTAACAGGTTTCTTTTAGTAGGGTACTTTTGTAGATTTTATTCTGGATTTGGACAACAAACATCCTTTTTTGTAATTTCATTGTATTAAGCATGGAATTTTCTATAATGTTGTCTACTTGGCAAATTCGCAGTTTCCGATATATACGGAAATATTGGTTTTTGTTTTGTCTTAATGCTTCATATGACTTTTACCATAAGGTAATTCAGGTTGGCCATGACGAGGTGACAGCGTCACGGAGTGCTACCACTCAAAAATCAGGTTCTATCAACCGTTACTACGACATTTAGGGATATTCGATTTACCTACTTCTACAGTTGTCGGTGGTTGGTAGATAAATTTCTTGATTCTGTAGTTTGACATGACGTCAGACCAGTGAAGCGTAACCACCCCTGGGAAAAATTCCTCGGAACGCCCATGGAATCAGGTAGGGATCGCGCCAAACAGTTGGGGACACAAAGGTCAAAGGGGCCAACGTCATCTGTCGAGTCCAACGAATTTGGAATAGGTAGAAGGATCCAGTCAAATAGTTGCTTGTCTCCTTGTTCTCGTAGTCTGTAGTGAAGATCAAAGTTCACTTGACATACGTCTTTTTTGACAGTTCTGTTATTAAATTCGTAGTTTTATTCTTATTTTTTTAAAGTGCGAGTGTCTGCAGATAATGTTGTGTTAGACGGTTTCAAGACGCGCTACTTCTTACATAATTTGCAAAGAGGAGCATAAGCCTTATGAAGGTAAATGTTTCCACCGGTACAACACTGTCACTTTGGTAGGCGTTGGTAGACAAGAAAGACAAGTGATCCAAAAGTATGCAGTAAAACTACGCAATTTAGGCGTCATACCATGCAATGTAAACATATAGACTCCTCCTTATTACTATTCGAATTCGTTGGTCGTATCTGTACAGATTATAGAGTAACAGCGTGATATCCTTAGTTGTTCGCCCGATTTCCGCCATAGCCAACTGATATTATCTTATGGTAAAAGCCGTATGAAACATATAAACAATAGAAAATACTAATTTACGAACTAGACAACCTTATACAAAGTTGACCTTATTTTTAATTCTTGATATGGTGATATTAAACAAAAATGTTGTTTTCATTTGATAAATGAATTTTTGGGTTATCTGCAGTCTAATTTTCGTTCTTTTTTTACTATTTTGTTCTATTTGTTATCCAAATAGGAAATAGAATCTACTAAACTAAGTTCCTTACTATAAAAAAAACGTTACAAATGATACGAGAAAGGTAAAAATAATACGCGAAAAAAGTGTTACAGTTATATCTGTATGTTAAAAAGCAGTATTTAAATTTAATAAATTGAATAATGATATTAAACATGTCCGAATTTAAAAACGTTTAAGGTGAAATTAAAAAATCACTTCATGAATACTCAAAATGCATAGTGTTGTAATTTTAATAGACAAGAATGTAAAATTATAGAAAATTGATTTAAAACATCTGTTCACAAATAATTATACAAAATTGCCATTCTAGCATTAGTGATAAATAAATCTTCAACAAACATACAAAATTCATTGGCCTGCATTTGTGATTTCTTACGCCAAATTAGAACCATGGTTAGAATTCAAAAATTAAATGAACTATTTAAAATAAGCATTTGGTATCTATATATGGGTATATGGTAGTATAGAATTAACCAACGTGACACTTTTTAATATCCTGGACAGAGTGAAAGTGAAATTAAAAATAAAACGATTTTCAGATGACATTACTTTAATTTACCACACCTGCGCATTTGAAACAGCGTGGAATAAAAAGAGCAAGTCTCCTTGGTGTTCCATTTTCACTGTTGACGACCTGAAAGTACTTGAGTATGTCGAGGACCTCAAAATGTATTGGCAGGATGGATATGGATATGAACTTTCATATAAACAAGCTTGTCCCGCTTTTGGGGATATGATCAACTTTTTGGAGTCGTAAGTATAATTATTTTCAGATAAATCCTCACCACAAAAACGCGAGCTCCTCATTTCCATCCATATGTTCAAATCTCTTTTATCACCGATGCACCTCTTGTCCGATTTGTTCCCTAAAGAAAGTTTGAACGCAGCTCAAGTTTAAAACAAGGCCTGAGAATCGTTTCGAGCTCAGCCCACCTCACTAGTACTGAGAGATCAGATCATTTAGCTTGACTGGGGGCCAGTAGCTCTACTTACCTGATAAAATATAAATTGGAACAGTCATTTTTGCGTGATATAATAAACCTTAATTTTGATTTCTTCTCTCTTCTTATAGAAATGATCCTCACTCAAAAGTCACTGTCTATTTCACGCATTCGGGGACTTTGTTGAAAATGTTGGCTCATTTAGGACTGTATAAGGACGAGCAACCTTTGACAGCTGATAGCTTTTCTAAAATGTCCAACAGACAATGGAAAACCAGCAAAATCGACAGTTTTGCTACAAACTTGGCTTTTCTATTATTTGGGTAAGTCTTTTCTCGTCACTGTATGTGATTGGAGGATGATTTTGGATGTCTAGTCCACTTTACTTGCGATTAATTTCTTAATTTCTCCTAGAGGACCTTCTATGCCAGTAATAGATTACAGAAACTCCAATAGTCCTTCATCATTATTACTCAAGAGTTTGAAAGTCTTAATTTTCCACAACTAAATACACAACAAAGCAAAATGGTTAAAGCATCAAACAACTTGAAAAAATAAAATAGTAAAACCACAAAATTATAAGTGTCTCACTCACTTGATACATCTTTCACATGTGCCTTACCAAATGCCTAAGCCACATTAGATATAGTATGAGATAAACCGTAAAAACTGATAGCCTATAGTGCATCCATTTATTTGGAATTGTCCAAAACATTCAACAAGACATGATCACATTCATTTTGTACGTTGATTTTTGTACCTACTATGTTGCTATTCAATATTTTGTGAACCACTGTAACTATCTATTCTAGGTGCGAAGATGGAGACAAAATATTGACATTACATCAGGAGAGGGTGGTTAGGTTACCCAGCTGCCCGAATTCAGATTTATGCAGTCTAAACCAAATGAACAAATACTATGAAAACAGTATTCAAAGTTGTGATTTTGACGCTCTCTGTAACACTAGATGAAAGATTTTATGTATTAGTGTATGTACGTTAATAATATCTGATGACAAATCCAGATTTTATGGTTGAATTTAAATAAAACTCGTTGATTTTTAAAAGTGAGTTTATTAGAACAAGTTAACAGGTATTTTCATAAACATGTCATTGAAGTGAAAACATCAATGGATACAGTATCAGGCTTTAACGCCTTTATTCTTTTTCAAGACACAAATGCCATCTAATGTAGGTCCAATAACTTCATATTGATCAGTAGCTAATTCTGCTCTTTCTAAACTAGTCAGTAAAACTGGAGTTGTGTGTGTGTGGATGCCTGCAATGGTTTTTGGGGTGCCAGCTTTTCCAACCTGTATAAAAATATTGTTAATAAAAGAAATTTCACATGCAAATATTTCAACAACAGTGTCCTGATTAAACACATAATCCATACATTCCAGAGCTTTCTGAACATTTGCATGTTTTGACGATTTTGTTAGCAAATGTCCACATTCTATGATGAAATAATGTACATCCTTAGGCTAAAGACGTCTCCTTCTCATTGTGGGCACAATTGTAACAGTTTCAAAGAACTAATGGCTATGCGAATTATTAAGCATGCATTTGAAACCAGTCATTTGCTTACTGGAGAGATATTGAGTGTAGAAGGACATCTTGTGAAAACTCACATGCCAGTGGGTGACCTAAAACGGGATCGTTTGATCTAATGGTTATCACAAGAGAGACGTGTAATATAGAGTGTCCTATTATGCAAAGTTATTCTAAAAATTACGAGATGCTTTTTAAGAACAGCGATAGGGTAAGTTAACAAGTCGCGTATTGTTTCATCGTGATAGTGCTCCCAGCCATACCTCCTATATTGCTATGGCTGCTCTATATCCTACAGGCTTTGCATTGATATCCTATATTATCCGCTATATATGGCCTCTAATAATTTCAAACTGTTTCCAAAATTAAAGGAAGATTTACGAGAAAAAAAAAATCATGATAAAGAGGACTGCTGTTCAGTATCCGGACGAACTTTTTACCATGCTGCTATTCAAATGCTGGAATACCGATTGAATATGTTAGGGTGTTGATGTTAAAATAGGGATTATATAAAAATAAAAAATATAAATTGAATGTAGCTTTATTGCAAGGTGATTAGGGGCGTAGGGGCGGAACATCTGAATCATCTCTCCCAATTTATCTAAGAGGCCATTTATTCACGGCACTTGTGTGGCCCGACAGTATCACTCAACCTTGTTGAGCATACAGGTGTTTCTTTTTAATCATGTTTGGCGACCCCGTCTAGAGAAACACCCGTATAACGAACATTGCCAAATGACACTGTTGCGTGACATGAATCGCACATATACTCGTAGATGAAACCTCAATAGTCTAAAATAGACAGCGGTGATAACCATTTTGTTTTCAAATAGATACTCCATGTTTTACGCTAATATGACGTCATCCGTCAAATCGATTCTGCAACTGACACGGTTAGCACCTTGGTTGATTCGTGCTGTAAAAACGACCCTGAAACTTGACGCCTGAAGTACCAGTGGGGCTTTGACAGGGTTGCCATGTTGGGGGATTTTCCCCCTTTGTACGGTAAGGCATTGTTTAAAGAGGAGGAACAGAAACATGTTCATTGTTTGTAATTCCTGCTATTCTCCAAAATGCTGATGAAACATTCGGCCTTTTGTCTAAAGAACGACAAGAATTATGGATTATGTCATTGACGATGGGGTCTCCTGATAGAAGAATAATATACAAGAATTTGTTCCAGATGTTTTAGAAACGGTAACGTCTTGAGGAACAAAATTCGTGGAACTCAACGTATATTTTATAGGAGCTCCAGCAGATTTAACGGACAAGGATACTGATTGGATTCCCAATCAAAACAATCCTGTTCTATTTTGGTACTATACTAAAATCGTGCAATCTCACGCGTAGGATCCTAAAAGCTGATTGTCATAGCTAGGGTGGCAACATACAGGTTTTACGAATAACTTTTGTGTTTATTAAGATAAGAAAAAACACCCGCGAAAAGTGTTATTTATAACTATGAAAACAAGTTATTCGCAAAATCTGTAAGTTTGCATCTAGCTTTTCGGGCCCTACGCGGAAGATTTATCGATTTAGTTTAGTATCAAACTGTGGTATTGACAATCCGATCACTGCGCCCTCAGTCCAGCATCAAGTTGTGGGGTCGTTTTTTTTTCTCATTTCGCAGGTTCTCCTGGTATTTAGGCTCCATCGTAATCTGAATATACAGGGTGACTTCGAAGTTGAGTCATTTATTTTAACAGTGAGTAGATCTGATCAAAAGAAATGTTTTTTCCTTTACCATTTTTCTGGTAAAATTAAAGTAACAAAGTTATAGCCCTTTGGAAGTTTGAGTACTGCCCTGTCTCAATAATAATATGTTCGTGTTTGGCGACAACGGATATAATCCGCCTGACCGGTTCATCGCATCGGAAACAAAAAAGCGAAAGAATTTGAAACGTTTATCACGATGTTTTTCGTCAGTCGATAACGCGTTAATGAATAGTAGTATTTGTTGCGTGGCTCAAACGAAATCAAAAATGGCACATGTTTACGAAAATGCTGAACTTGTGGACATGATTCTTATTTACGGGGGGGCAGTGTTTACAAAATGCTTCCGGATGCATCACGGATGTATGCGAATCGGTTTCCCAATCGAGTGCAACCAACCCCTCGTGCCTTTGTTAATGTAGTACAAAGGGCTCATGAATCAGGTGACTTAAGACCTCACAGGTCAGGGCATGCTGCTCCAAGACCGCACGATCAAATACAGGTCCGCACTGAAATACTTGTCGGGACGATACTTTATTAAACAAGGTAACATTTTTTTTTATTTATTTTTTTATTTTTACACACATATTTTGGTTTATCTTCCTTCTACAATCATTATCTGAAAATTAATGACTCAACTTCAAAGTCACCCTGTATATATATATATATATACCGAAAGATTTTCGAAGTGTGGGAAAACTGTTACTCACAACGTCAACTGCTTGTCCAACTCTGACAGTGACAGGAAGAGAATGCAGATTTTCGTCGAGAGTTAACAGCCATCTTGGTTGTATCGCCGTCGCCAAAAAATATAGTAAATAGTGGGAATCCCCTAGTACGAGAGCATGTGGCTCTACTAGAGCTACAAGAGGTGCTAGTAAACCTTGAATAAAAAATAAAAATGGAATGATGGCATTTCCTTTAGTATTTATAGGTATAATATATGCTTCTTGTCTGCAATGGAGTATTTCATAAAATAGCTTGAATGATATTTTACTGTATTTTTAGGGAAGTAAGTCATTTCAGAATCAAGTATTTGATTAATTTGGTTCAATTTCAAGAGACTGTTCGATCTAGTCTCAGAAAATGCTACCCACATTTCAACTTCATGTTTTTCTTAACCTCAAATTCAGGAGATGACACCCAATTAAACCTTACTTTACAAGAGAATGGTTTCAATCTAGACTCATAAAAAGTAGCTCATACCAGCTAATCCAACAGGATCCACTAACATTCTATCTGTGTGTAAAGGATTAAGTGATAGTGTTCCTTTCCCCATATGGACCAAGCCCTGAGCAAAACGCACCATAAACAATTGAGATGGATTTCTGGTGTGGAAGACTGCCAACTGTCGAAGCCCTGCGGCTAATCTTGCATTATTAGTGCCTACAAAGGATATTAGAAGGATTGTATATTTGGTTAACTCCACAAAAAAGCAAAACGTAATTTTATAACCTACTACTTATTACTAAACATTCAGTATTATAACTATCGTATGGAAGGCTTTGGTATTATTATCCTACAGTTAGACAGATTAAGATCCAAATTTGTCTAACGGCTTGAGTTCAATGTGTACGAGAGAGAAGTATATATAGACACATGTTAGACAGAGATAGAAGCCGGTTTATTCGATACGCCTAAATAATGGTTTTATTTTGAGCGTACACATTTTTTAATTGTATCAAATCTGTTTATTATCGATTCCGGATAGGACGTAACGGCGCTCCATTTTAGGTCGGGATGGCCAGGAATTCTGCAACATTGCATCACTGGTTCGCTTGGCAACACCTCATCTTGTACATTCCAAGGCAAGGTTTCCACCTCTATGATCATAGATGAGCGATTTGGTCAGTAGCCATCTAGCGCTCATTGGGGAGTGTCGTCTTGCTTAGAAACGTTTTTCACCTGCGTACACTCAAATTTGTATAGCGTAAAGGTATTTGTTACATTTTCCGACCGCTCGCTGTCGCAAAGTGTAACAATAACTCAGGATGTGTTGATTTTATCGACATCGGTGGAAATCAAAGATAATTCTAAAACAAATTAAAAATATAAATTAAATTACTAAGTCGAAATTAAAATTGAAATAAATAATTCTAATCAAAATGAAAACAAAATATTAAACATTGGAACAGACCTTGCGTTAAGCTAACTTATTCTAGAAGCCTGTGCGAACAGTTTCTGGTGTAACATATTTGCAACGCGGCAGGTTGCACGACCTTCTGCGTCACCGTTACTAGGCAATGTGGTGATCACCTTCGCTCCTCAGCCGGCTTTTATCTCTCTAACATGATGTGTTCATACACACTTTTCGCGCTTCTCTCTCGTATAGATAGAACTCAAGCCATTATACAAATTTGATTTTCCTTGTATGTTTAGACCTACTGCCATGACCCTTATTTTTATATTAACATGTTCATGATATAAAAATAACAGTCACATGTAAGTAACTCTAGAGTAGTGATGAACTGAAGTAACACAATATGTATTTGCGAGTTACTCGAAATATTGTGTAGATTTTTTTACTTTAGTCTATATTCACCTGCTCCTATTAATCCAAGTCCAAATATGGCGTTGCACGCCACTTCATCATCAGCGTCATGAGAATATTTTGTTAAAACGTCGATAACATTTAGTTGAGGATGCGAAACGGAAGACAGTGCAATTGCTAAGGGAGCTACTTTCCGCACGCATGGATCGCCATAGCGTCCTACATGACCAAAGATCCTTTGTGTCATTTCTGCTCCTAAAAATAATTAGACCTATTTCAGCAAAACGAGACATCACGTGGCAATGAAGTCATTCTCTTGTCCCAAATACGTGTTTTCCTTATTTTTGAAATAATTACCAATCTCCTCTCCCATTGATACAGCTGCTACAGCCAACGTTGCCATAGCTTGGCCTATAGAATAATCCCATTCAGGTTTCTTTGGTACTTTAATTTTCGTAAAGCTATCCATCTTGTTCTTAATGCCCTTCTTTTCCGACTTATTCTTATCTTCTTTCGGTATATCAACCTTGTCACCAACTAGAATCAATCTTTTGAGTGTCAGTTTATTCGAATCCCATTTAATGCAATACCAGAACCTTTTAGCTAATGAAAACACCAGACATAACATTTCCACAGCCTCAACATGTACGTTGATGGAATAACAAAGTTGTTCTATGACATATGAAAGTGTCGTGACTACGTGAGATAATACTAGTTTGCATCTAAATCCACAATCTGATATACGTGAGTAGGGATCCACATATTTCTCTGAGTCGTACCTATGTGGAGTAATTTCTGGATGATCAACACATCACCAGTTCCTGCATATCCGCACATTAACAAAATAGTTTCCATGATACTCTTGAAAGGTTCCTCTAAGATGCTAACTGCTTCATTTGGAACATGTATCGCATCTCTTGAACCCATGTAACATAAAGCCAAGCCTAGACCTGATAGCCTAGCGTAAGCAGATTTCAACCTTGAAAAGATAAATTCCCGATGATATGTTTATGATAGATTCCAAATACAACAGCGTTTTGTTATAACAGCTTGAGTATATGATATATACTTGTAGTATATTTATGGGGAAATTGGAATACGTCTGGAAACCATTTTTCAAGAGGAATATAAAAGGTTTAAGGAACTCTTTTCTATTATTTGGTCACTTTGACATTAGCTTGGCTTGTCATTCAAAATAAGCCTAATAACATTGTATTTTCAGTACTATGCCACTGTCTTACGAATCAGTCTCAGGCTTAGTTACTGTCGTTGCGCTTATCGATGTCGTGGCGCGAAACGGCACCCTAAAGTTTTAAATTTTTTATTCGAGTTTACATATTTGTTATATATTTTATGAGTCGGGTACGTTGAGTAACCAACCTCTGTAGAAAATCATCATGATCGGAAAAAAAGAAATATCCTCGAAAACACATACCTGTCAGTACCATTCATGTCTATAATTTTATTCAGTATAGTAACGGAAACATCGTTGTCATATTTCCCAACAGATATTAATCCACAAGCCAAGCTACTGAGCGCACTGATTTCCATGGATGAAGATGATATTAATGGCAGCAGTAGTTCTATGACGTCATCCCTGTGAGAACCTGCGTATGCTAAAGCTATGCCTAATATAGCACCCACTTGTAGTGTCTGGTTGTCCATAGCGATGTAGTCACCCAAAAGGGCCAATGCTGGGTCGCATTCATTTTTTACTCTATAAGATTCAAAAGTAGTCATGGTTCCTGGAACATGTCTGGTTGTATTAAGTAGGATCCCTTGCAAAACTAATCATTGGAATAAGGTAACAAGAAAGCCTAGACGTTGCTTTCATCCAAATTACTTTTGCGTAGTCGTTCAATATATGAATTTTGTCAAAAATGATTATAACAATTGACGTCTTATGATTATAAACGGTAAAATATACGTGTATATCTAGGTGATCTCTCACTTTGTCCTAATACGAAAACGTCTGTTTCCACACCTAAGCTATTATTTTCCCCTTTCCCTCCTCAGCAAAAAAAGATGATTGATCCTTCTAGTACTCAAGGGAACAACATCGATTATAAAAATCGGCTTCTCCAACGTCTGCGGGATTAACAGCAATATTGATGTTGTTACAACTATTTGCAGTCAAATCGTCTGGCCATGCTTTTTTTGGTAGAATCTCTGATTCTGTCTTGACCAACTATCAACTACAAGGTGCACTCCAATTGAAGAAGAACGAGGGAGTTTTGTGGCTTTTGTCCGCAATAGTCTTTTCTGCTCCAGAGACATCTCTTCGGGATCAGGCCAGAAGGACATTCTGTTGCTTTGGCTCAACTACAAACCATCCCCCAGACTTGATTATTGCCTCTGTCGCTCTACCCCGGACTAAAACTGGGATGACCTTCCTGAATACCTCGCTGTCAAGATCGACTTCTTGGGCAGCAATCACACACCGTTTCAGAGGTAGTGCTCCTCAGTCATTTCAATATCCATAAAGAACAAGACCGATGCAGCAGGTCGTGATGTTGAAGCGTTCGCCATTATCCAAGGACTGACCCACCTGGTGACGAGCCTCACTTTTTCCCTCACGTTTCATCACACGCCAGTTTCCTGCTAGATATCTTTCTGACCACGCATCCTGTCAGTCAGAACCGGCTGTGGCAGCAGAAACGTACAGACAAAAAAAGACCATAATACAGATGCTCTTGAAAGAAGAATCTAAGACCGACCGATAGCTCTGCTTTCTATTATAATTAAGGTGATGGAGAGGTGCGTAAATCGGGAGCTCCTGGAGTACTATATCTTGAACATCACTGCCTGATTAGTGACAGGCAGTATGGATCCCGGTACCAGCGAGCAATGGGGGGCCTCCTAGCTAACGTCATTCAACTGTGGAGTAAACTCATCTAGTCTTATGGTGAGGCTCGTGTCGTTGTTCTTGATATCACGAAAGTTCGATTATTTGTGGCATGCTGCCCTCTTATGCAAAGTTTCATCCTATGGCCTCCTAGAGAAGCTCTGCAGGTGGGTGGCCGACTTTCTCCCGGGCCACAAGATATCCGTAGTAATTGACGGGTTCTCCTCTTCAACCCACTAGGTCAACGAGGGTGTTCCCCTATTAACTGTTTTGGTTCAGAGATTGTTTCCATTACATATCAACTACCTCTGTTCCTGTACGATCAATTTGATGCACAACTTTGCTGATGACAGCACTCTATACGTATATGCAGGAGTTTAGAGTGACACGAAGATTTGTCGGTGAGCTGGAGAAAAAAAGACTAGCAGCGTCTTCCTATCTGACAAGCGACCTGGAGGCTATCACTATCTACCTGAGGAGGTTTTTCTCAGTTCTATAAACATTATTCAGTTCAAGAATCTGATTATCAGGGTGACCTTTAGCTCCTTAAAGCAACTGAGATGCCCTGGTATTTAGGCTTCTACCTACCCGACTGCTTCAGGATATAAAAAATAAGCCATTCATTTTAGTGAAATCCATTATACTGACTTGGACGACCTATAGTTTGGGACCGTTGAGTTTGGGAGAGTGTGCCATTGAGACATTTGTTAAGGAGGCCAAAGCACAACCCAAAAAAATCTGCGAAAGTGACCCAAACCGTCTTGCCTGGTCCTTTGGTTGCATTTTGGTGAAAAATCAGTCAACCAAAAGAAGAATATTGAAACAGTAGTGTTTTTAAAACAACATTTGTTGTCAGTGCCCCATAAGATTTTCACCTCATCTGTGCAAATTACTTGATAGTCGCCAGAAAAGAGGTCAATAACAGTCAAATGCATGAAGTATTACTATTGGGCGAGATGAGTGAAACTAGGAAAAAGGAAAGAAATGAAGATCAAGCTGTTGGAAGCGTATCAGTGTTCGACTATGTAAATAATGAAGATACTGCTACCAAATTACAAAAAGAAATTGAAGATAAAACTAAAAAATTATAGAACTATCAAATGGAAACAACATTAAAAGAAAAACATGAGATTATTGTTCAACACTTCACATGCCATAGAAAAGAAAGCAATACATCATCATCATCATCATTTATCGTTGAACCAAAAGACAAGAACAAAAGGAGTGTGTGTGTGTGAAGTAGTGAAGTGAAAGTAATTCAGAAATACAAGAGCAGTAAAAGCCAAGCATGTAGTGTAAATAGTACAGGTAGATACATATGCTCATAAAATAGCATCCTTAAGACCATGCTTGAAAATGGCATGCTCTTCAAACTAAATATCTGCTTGTGTTTAGCATGCTTCTTCTCGATCTTGCTCAAAGCAGAGACTCCGAACACATAATTATGCCATTTAATAGCAAGCTCTCTGTCAGTGTTCCATTGCAAAAATGGAAAACCAATTGACTCTCTTCACAGAGGTGTGAATTAAGTCAACATTTTGATTGCAATACCTCAGGTTCTTGATATTTGTTTTTAAATTTTTTAAAGTTAACATAGGGTCATTCATATTCGTTAACATATCTTAATACGCAGTGTTCGTCAAAATATTGTTTTTATACTGCGGGTACTTTGGGTCCACAGACGTTCATGATTTCGATATAGAATGTCAAACTTTAACGTCTTGTCGTCACCACAGCACGCCATTTTTGGAACACACTCGCGCACCTGCTGCGAACAATTGCTGCTCAATAATAGTATGATTAATAAGCAGACCTGTTCACACACGCTAAAAGCACACCCCCTCCACCCGCGCTGCAGGTAGCATGCTCAAAAATCGTACAACGGTCGATTTTTAAGCACGCTCAGAAAAAACATGCTAATTTCTAGTAACGTATATACACACATGCTACTAAGTAGCAATTGCTCATTAAAGGCATGCTTGTGTGCTAGATTTGAGCATGTGTATCTTAACTGTCCAATAAAGAAAATGAGTACTTGCTGGATAAAAAAACATTCAATATATTTGGGATGGATTAGTCATAAATTTCACAAATTTTTTAGTGTTCTTGTCATAAATGTTGGCGATTTGGACATCGGGCTGAGAAGTTCAATTATGTTGTGTATGTCCACACGGCAGACAAAATCACATTAAGGAAGCATCTAAGGCTATATGGCTGCAGGAATTGTAAATATATGCACGAATTATTAAAGAACCCATATAGGTATTCCATAACCCGTGATCTGTTTAACAAAAACTGCCATAGCTATTTAAACTAATTCCAAAAAGTCAAAGAAAGAACGGTTTATGAAAAATGGTAGCTAGATCAAAAGAGTAGATTGCTACTCTTCTACAATTCAGGTTCAAAATCACTTTATATTGACGTATTAAGGAATTTAGTACTTTTTATTTTAGAAGATCCAAGTCATTTGTGACTTTGTAATGTTCATCTTAAAGTAGTATTGTAGCTTATAGCTGAATAAACATCCATCCATTCTACTACCATGCCAAATTTTAGCCTCTTGTTATTTCTGAGGATTCGATAAAATATATAATAAATAATCAATGAATTTGTACCTGCAATTAACTATACCCAGTGCTAATAATGCGCCTGATTTGATGTAATCTTCGGTAGAATATAAATATTTATCTATAGGTGTCAAACCGCCATCCACATCCCAAAGGTGCAAAAGCCCCAAGGAGGCTGTTGCGCTCAGCATACCATGTTCCTAAAAGAATCCCGACCAATGTATTCCAATTGGAATTAAGGTCCAAACAGCGGAATTATATCCCATTATTTTTATAGCAACCTACGTAGATGATGTTATCTGAAATTGTATCCTGTCAGTCTTATATTGTGTCATTTTGACAACGTATGTCGAAATATTTTAGAACGATTGAGAAATAAGTAATGTTGAGTATAGTTCCTCATCTAGTTCTCCTTCTTGAATACTCCCAATAATCGACATAGTGAGCCGTATTCATAAAAGAGAAGCATATCCTCGGAAGCATAAGGTAAAAGTATAAGGTCTTGCTTCGGAGAAAAAGGTAGAAGTATAAGCATATCCTTCTTTTCATATTCATAATGATTACCTTATACTCGCGAGGATATCCTCCAAGAAGAAGTAAAAGGTTGACTGGTATTTGTATCTTGAGCGACATGTCCTGACTTGTTCCAGCTTGTAGTTGACGTGGGAATTCGTTCACTCGACATCACTAACAGTTGTACTCCAGAGCTTACACAGACCGTTCCGTATTTTTACTGGATACAGTTTTTTATCAAATTAATAAGCATGACATCCTCAAGAGATGATGAATCTATAGAAAATAATGGCAACGACCTGCAGTTCATCGCAGATGAAATTTACATTGCTCCCATTATCTTGCAAAAGTCACAAGTTCAAAAAATAAAAATGAGAAATGACGATGCCTTGAAGAAGATGTTGAAAAAATGCGAATCAACATTCGATAAACGATTAGATACTAAAGGCTTATTAAAAAAAATTAACATGAAATCAAGATTGAAGAAAAAACAGATCTAAAAAAATGGTAATAAAGCAATTAAATTGTTAGATTGGGAAAGAAAGTTGCTGAAAGCTATGGAAGATAGAAGGTGACTGTAATACTACAATTGGGAAAATTGGAGGTGCCATCCAGGTTGGTAGTGTTCAAGAAGAAGGAAGTGAACTATATACCGAGCGCAGAGAGCAAACAGTTAGTATTACAGCGCGAGCAATTTATTCAGAAGACATTGCTACCAAAAAGAAAATTAGCAACAGAGAAATACGAAACTGAGGAAACCAAAGGGTTAACTACAAAAGAACTGCAACGTCTAGTGCTGTTACAGCAGTACCAATAAAGTATTTTACAACAAGAGTATTATAAAACGAAATTAGAAATGATGCAGCGTCAGAAGCCACCTGTAACTTATGATGTTCACGAAAATAAAACTTATTATAACATAAGTACACTTTAATCAGTAATTCCATTTATTATAATACTCAAGTTTCTTCTTATTTGTTGACCTAGTTGGCGGAGAGGAAGTTTGTCATTCTCATTATTTCCTTCATCTTCATCTGGGTCTTGTTCAACTAACTCAAAGTCAGGAACGCCCAAGCTCTTCGCAACATTATGGAGTATAATACAAGCAATAATTATTTTCGTCACATTTTCCAACTTTACGCGGCAAACAAACTGTAGGATAGGAAGCCGGATTTTCAGTTGGCCGAATCAGCATTCAATTATAACTCTTTATTGTTTTAAAAGCTTATTATAATTTATTTCTGCACCTGGAGCTAGGATTTCTGAAGGGAGTCATAAGGCATGGCTCAATACCATAACCGTCATCGCCAAGTAGTACAACATTTGCTTTATTTATTAGTTGTGATCTAGTCTGTGAATTTCTCCATATTCTGGAATCATGCACTGATCCAGGCCAACTGACATCAACACTTATGAACAACCATTTAAAGTAGGTTTCCCTTTTCTGTTGATATACTCATCTCCATGGCGATTTGGTTTCAGGATTCCTATATGTGTACAATCAATTACACCAATTGCTGTCGGAAATTTATACATGCTTTGCCATATCCGCTTGGCCTCCAGCAGTTCATGGTTGGTAGTTGGAAACTTGATCCATTCGTTCGTCTGTGCAAGTATGCTGTTCACACTTCTATCCACAGTCCGAGATACCGTTGCTTGACTAACACCAAGTTCCTGACCAATACCTTGTTAATATCCAGTGTCACCGAGATAGCGTAGACATATCTTCATTTTATGAATACATGAAAGTGCTCCTCCTCGAGTTTCCTCATACTCAACTATAAATCTGTCCGCAAGCCATTGTACATTTGCTTCGTCGAACCGATAAAATTTTTTGAAGACACGACCAAGTGAAGGTAAACGAGGTTTGTACGTTTTAACATCCCTAACATCCACAATTTCCGCCATCATCGTTTGACCACCTTTCGTTACGAAGTTGAGTCTCACTCAGAATTTTTGAAGGATATGCTTCCTATGCCAAGTATAAGGTGAAGATTATGAATATCCTTTTACTTATGTCACTGCTTTGAAGGATATGCTTATATTCAAAAAGCAAAAGCATTTACTTCAAATTATTATAAATACCATCTAGACCATTTCCTTCAAAATTTGCAAGTACAAGAATATACTTTGTTTTATGAATACGGCTCAGTGTCTGAAAACGGCAACTGGATATTTTAAAGCATTTGTAAAATTAGTTGGAAACGTCGTGATCATTCAACAATGGCCCACTTCTCAAACTCAAACTGCGCATGTAATTTACTATTTTAGTATACGTTAGATACTCCCGCCGGAATGTTGACATTTTACTCTGTGATATCAATGGTTCGTGCTTATAATAACTTACATCATTAAATTCCTAAATATTGTATGATATAATGCATATGCAATGAAATGTAGTTTGTGTAAAATTAGTGTAAAACAGGGCATTTTCTCATCTATCCTACTTATGTGAGGCTGGGTGTTAACGGTCATTTGTGATCGAGAATCTGTCCTTTTTGTCAAAAATATCGTTTGAGTGTATTTTGTATATCACGATTGAATGTTTTGTTGCAAATAAATGTATTTGATTATGACAGGAAGCGCAAAATGTTCCCTTAAATACAAAATTGTAACAAAAATAATCGCAACATAACTTTCACTTTGAAATTTTCACCTTGACTGAGCAATTAAGTAATTCAGTCACTGAGGTGCTGAGCTAGATTAATTTTTGTGAAGTTCACTTAATCTGAAAACTAACCTTATTTCTATAGATCCACTTATTGCCACCATCAACTGTAAGTAATTTATCGCTACCAAATCCAGCATTTGCAAAACCATTGACCAATGAAGAGGCTAAATTCTGTCTAGCGCTATCCAGATGTTCACCAAGAACTGTTATTCTTGGAGGAACTGGCTCCAACCAGGTTTTGTAAATATCTTCAGGAGCTTTAGGTTCCATTATATCAAGCTGAAATGATATACTTATTTGGATTTAAAATAGAGAATCATATTATTGTAAATAGAAAACTGATGACTGAAACATGCAAATATATTTAGAGATTCTAGCATATATTTCTGTGGATTCGGCCAAAATTTCCAGAAATTACCGGGTCAATCAAATGTGACGAAACGGCTCTGTATTTTTTCAGGAAAGGTGTTTTTGAGAAAGGTCAAGATCAGGTATATACAGGGTGAGTTTTTAGTATGGCCTTGGTCGATAACTGCAAAAATTGTAGCCTGCAGTATGCTGCTTATTTGGAAAATACTTTCATTTCTATAGGATGACTTTAATTAAAGGTAAAACCGACATTTTATAGCAGACTTGAATAGGCTCTTTCAAAGAAGCAATTTGATTTAACATGCTATAGGGTTCTATTTTCATATTGTTGAGACATTGAACAATCTATTGAAAAAACATTCAACTTTGACAACTCGCACACCTGCAACTGTTGTAGCTAGGGTACTGAATTTTTTTGTCAGTCAACAATTATGGTCATATATTTTTCCCTATTCACTTATCTTTCTAGTTTCAAAATTAACGATTTCTCAAAATATTCCAATGAAACACACTTTATATTTTCACACCTTTTGATTTCGCCTTTCTCGTGCTTTTTTCTGATGGTTGGTATTAGGGGGGTTTGTATAACTAGTTTTTGAGGTACTAAAACACACTGGCACACATTCTTGACTTTTCGATTGTATTGCATAAGGTTGGGTAGTTTTAATTTATTATGAAAGTACACAAATTCTAACAATCTGCTATTACCAACTGAATGCTATTATTTATTTTGAAAGGGATTGTAGCATTTTTCATTTAACTTGATGTCTGTTTTACAAAAGGGTTAGCTGACACTCATAAACCAGTCATCTAAACCCCCATAAACCTTATATCAGAAATCAGTTCAGTACTCTAACTACATAACAGTGCAGGTTGTCAAAGTTGAGTGTCTTTTTAGATAAATTGTTTAATACCTCAAAGATTTTAGAATAAAAGCTTCTAGAATAATATCAAACTGCTTCGTTTGAGAGAGCGTATCCAAATCTGCAAAAAAATGTAGGTTTTTCCGTTTGAAAAAATGCATGTTTGGGTCACCACGCAGTTACGAATCACCCTGTTGAAAATATTTTCCATGTAAGGAGCTGGCTAAAAAATTGGTGTAATTAACTTTTTTAAACAACATGTGCAATCACAGGCTTATTGGCCGAGCCAACATTAAAAACTCACCAAGTGTATACTAAATTTGAACAAGAACCTGATGATGACCTTAGATTTGACCTTGAGTCTCACCTTCATGATTATTTTAAGTTCAACTTCTGTTTTTTATTTAATAAAAAGCCCCTTTTTGGCATCGACAAACGCAGAAATGAAAAACTCTGCGTCTAATTTTGTACTAAAATCAAAATGAATAAGGCTGAGAAATTCGCAGAAGTAAAGTAGAATTATAAAAAATTCTTTAATCACTAATTTTTAACAAGAGTTTCAATGGTGAACTTGAATTCAACGTTAAAGCTCACCTTCAATGTCAACTTTTTTTTAACCGGGAACACCCTCCTATTCTACATCCACAATGGAACTTTTCACATTTTAGCACATCAATGTGTACTATTGTCGAGGTGAGGCTCAAGGGCAAATCGAAGGTCAATATTGAAATCCATGTCAAAAGTTACTAAAGGTCAGACCTTGATTTTTTCATCAGTAATCCTGCTAAATGTCTAGGAATTTTGCCTAGTCTAACTCTTTGTGTGTTTTTTATTGAGACGTAGAAGTGACCGTTCTTTCGATCGCCAGTGTCAAAAAGCAGATTTACCGTTTAAAAAACAAACGTTGACCTTGAAATAGGCTTGAAAGTCAAGCTCAAGGTCAAATCCGAGGATACTATTGAACCCCATTTTCCAATTTTAGACCATGACCTTTTTCAAAAATATCTTACCTATAAAACACAGAGTCATTCCGTTAACTTTGTTTGAATGTTACTGTCTTACCTCTCTCCCTAACGTTAAAAAATAGGAGTTTAAATGAATATTGCTTAGAATATTGGAAAGTTCATCATAGCTTTCCATTTCTGGATCTAATTCTACTGGGTATACGTGCCTTGAACATATAAACGCCAGCTGATACAATGTTTCCCTGTAATTTTTTAATACATTACAAATGTGTAAAACGAAAGGCAATGGAATTGCTTGATATTAATAAATAATAAGGAAGCATATACTCTTAACTTTTACTGATACCAAATACACTTATTTAATATATTGATAAACGTCCAGAAAAAACAAAAGGCACTCTAAATATTACAATTTCTGCAAGTGTGAAATTCTTAGGGGTATGGACATAGCGGCCGTGCACCTCGCCGTACCAGTGCATCACCATGATACAGTTATCCTTTTTATAGTACCACCTTCTTCGATACATTGCATTAGTGGATATATCATAATCTATGTTACTGAAAGGGACATAATAATAAGCAACAAAAGTGCTCTGCCTTCGTCCTTCCGCCCAAAGACAGCCAACCATAGCCAGCTGTTTCTTGCTTTTTGGCTATTCCTTAACATAGTCTAGACCTGGGTCTCTCAGACAATGAACGAAAGCATAGCAACCATACACTATCCAAAGTGTGTGATCCATCGAAATAAGGATGCGAACATGAATCTCAGCCATCCGGCTAGAACTGTATGGTGGATGGCGCTTCGCGCTGTCTTTTTTAGACACATTTCGATTGGATGGCGATCTTAGTAATGATGATGATAACCATCGTGGCGAGGTGCGTGGCGATGTGAACTGCCCTTGGTTTTAGATTCGAAAGAAATGATATTCGAATCAACACGGTTTTCCACCCCTTCCATGCAAAATTCCATCCTCCATTTATTTTTAGCATACGGCTGACCTAATGGTACATTGGAATACCTATATTTGCAAAAAACAGGTGGATGCTCCTACTACCTACTACTTACTTATCTTTACAGCTTTCAAAAATCTTTTTAACCATTTCGTCGTCTTTCATTTGCAGTGCTGTTATTAAACATTTTGTATATTCGTTGAAACGTAAGTACTGTTCACAGATAAGCCTTATTATTTTACCTCTTTCTACGTCATCCACGTATTTTGAACATGATGACAAATACATGCACATCCTATAGATAAATGTAGATGAAAATACAAATTCGCTCGTGCAAAACAAAGGAAGCTGCAAAATTGGAGCAAGCGTGCTATACAAATAACATTTGTGGGTTTAAGCTAGGAATTCAGTAGTTTCCTAAAACGTTTAAACTCACTACTAATAAGATGAATGTGTCAGAACCTGCCAGCTCAACATGTGCAATCGGGATGCAAAAATAGTTGAGCAATGTTTCAAAATAAATATCAGTTTATACAAGTAGATCATTTTATAAGATCACCTCATCAAGTGTTATCGGGCAATAAAATGATTTACCTTTCATATGTATCTCGAGACATGTACTCTGGTAGCATTGCAAGCAAGTCGATCTCCATGAGCAAATCACAGGCTTGTATTTCAGCATGATGGGTGCAATTGAAGCTCAGAATATCATTGATAAGAGGCATCAACATTGTTGTGCTTGTCTCACAATTGTGTGGCCATTGCTGGACGATTTCCTTTTCTAACTGGCGAATGTACTCGTGACCCCAGTCACCGATATTCTTCATAGTTCCTTTTTGTAAACCAAGCTTATGTTTAGCGTCTACTTCTTTGTATGAGGTCGCAGTATGTCATTATTTTGAGACAGCCTTCGAAAATACGTTATGAGTAGGGGCAACAACGGAATCTCACGAGTGACCTGTCGTTACGAGCCTCTGTACTCATTCGTTATAACTACTTAGCATCTTGAGGGAAACCTCGCCTCTCCCCTGAAGATGTTAACATAGCGAAACAGTTTCGCGAGTAAAACTCTGCAGTGGTTATCATCGCTACGCCAAATAAGGATGCAACATCCCCTATACTCATATTCGTTATCTACCGTTGGTAACAAAAACGCTTAGGTACAAGATACTGGACAATATCTGGTAATGGATGGATATATCATCCACTTTCGCGTCATCTAGATCAACGTAAATATAGTAAGTTAGATGAATACTATATTTGTTAAATGCTAACGGATCAGAAGAATTATGACTTTTCAAATACTGTAAATGTCAACCGTTGTATGGTTGATCAAATATTGTACGTTCATCGCCTCAACGCTCACACACGGGGTCTGCGGGCTACGATAGCTTCTGAAGCAGCATAGTATGCGTGCGGTCTGTCACTTAACGAATCCAAAAAATATCGAATTCACAATATTTTGGAAAAATTGACACTGCGTTTTTAAATACCGGACACAAATGCGCCTCATGATATAAAAGTGCTCGACCAATCATTCTTACTTCTCAACCTAGATACGTAATTAAGTACAAAATATGAGATAAGTAGAGGTTCTGGATTAAAATGAATTTTTAAGTAAATACGTTATGTTTACCTAACAAACAGTACTTAAGACATTCTCTATTCGCTTTAGCTTCTTCACCTCCTGCAGTGCCCATAGCAAGTATGGAAATAACGTCGGCTAGGCTTTTTTTAATGTCGAGATTCGTACTTTTCATGTGGCTAGCCTTCAGAAGGTCATAATAAGGCGTCAGGTATTTCAGAGGCTTTGGAACTGAGGTCATGGAGGTTGTAGAAGTACGAATAAGGTACTTCAACATTTCTATGGCTGGTGGTACGAGTTTTGAATCAGTGCCCTTAAAATAAGTGTAGAAGAAATTGAAAAATAAAGGTACTCACCTTGAACGTTCTACCACATCGGAGCCCCATCATCCACCCACGGGTTAATCTCTTAAGGCAGGATTAGGATAAACGATTTTTGGAACAAAATAAACATAACAGTGGAATAATTCTGATGTACGTTATTAATTACAACATAAAACATCTGTATAATAATTTATTGACCAACAGCATCTTTATAATTCATAATTCCATTTATAGTTACATAAAAAAATACTAATTTGTTCAAATTTAAGATAATAAAGGAATCATATAATATGCATAAGGTTATTCAAGGTGCTGTCATAAAATCCTTTTGAGTTGGGGAAGAAAACACAGAAATAAATCAAAAATCTTGCATATTCTGTAAAAGTTCATGTACATGTCTCTTACAGGAGATTCTAACGCTAAATTGGTGTTTGCATGGGTGCAAAAAACAAAGGATCATTTCTAGAACATCTCCTTGGAACTAAAATTGGAATTGTTATAGATAATAGTTCTGAAGAACCTACAAAACCATGTAAATGATGGCAGAGTTGCATTTTCTTCTCTCACTCAATGAAGCATTTTGCGGCATATTCTCGCATGTCATCATGTATTGTCACAAAGTCTTGGCTTTGCGACATTTTATCGGATGAAAAATGTCAATTTCGAGAATCAAGAAGGTACTTTATGGGTTTCACGTGTCTTTTTATACAATTAGTGGTCATTGTCGATATATATTGGATAATTTCCAGAATGGAATGAAAACAACGGCCATCTACTACCCTCTTTATGTATACAAGAGCGGGGTGGTAAAGACCGATTTGCGCCCATAATACTCTTAGGCAATGTATATTTCGTATGGTAAATGGTATTGATAAATAACAACTATGCTTACCGTTATTTTGTCCACCAGCAATTTCAATTCGCACTGTAACTCCTTATCCTCATCGGACTGCAAAATCATTTAAGAATTATAAAATGGATATAAATTTTCTAAAACCTATTACCTCTTCTTCTTTCAGGCCTTTCTTTGGTTGAGCGGCTTTAGCTGCTCCCATTGTTTGACAAGCGATCAAAAACCTCTAAATCTCCGAATTATAACAAGACTTCGAGAGAGTGACGTTATGGTGGCGTTCAATTTTGGTTGACAAATAGCTGACAAATTTGAAAACACACAACAAATACTGCGTGTTGCCAGAAAACCAATAAATGTTCCACATTGGTCCACCATCGGTAGATGATGCTCAAATTCGCTTATTATATACCCATATTAATTCATTTGGTAACGAAAAACAATTATAAAATGTTTAAAAAATATATTATGAAACTTGATTGGCATTAAAACGTTACTGCAGAATTGGATTTCTCAGGGTAAAAATATTATATGTACTTCTTTAAAACTATATTGGCAGATTGATATAAATTGTTATACAAGCTAGCAATAGAGATTTTTTATAAGGGGTGCTGAGATTTTTCACAAAAAAATGAATTTAAGATTTTTTGCGTTGATTTCTAATAAGCTCTATTAAAAAGTGACTTAAACATTGCTAAAACTAACCATTTAGCTCATGTCAGAAAAAAGTCACAGCCCCGTTTTGTTCGAAATTTCACAAAATTGCAAATATCACCTGAACTATAAAATTTCCAACGCCCACATGTAGAGGTTCATTCGATAGGTTTTGAAGCCCTCTAACACCTCTTCGGTGATCCGCTACTAACTTTACACCCTGTATACAGGCTTATAAGCCGGACTGTTTTGTCAAGCTTTGATAGGCACGAGAAAGCAGATCGAAAACATTTCTCTATCATCCTAAGTTTTAAAGGGCAAATATACGGGTAAATCTATGATGTGTGAAATATGGCTAATAGGTTCATAGAATTACTGGGATTGGGAGGGTATAAATATACTAAGTTCGAAAAAAATCATATAAATTTCAGGCCCTACAATTTTATTCTGAAAATGATCAGGACCCTCTAAAGCATTTATTCCCAAAGTGGTCTATATCGACCCCTAGGGGTCTATGACAACCTGCAAGGGGTCTACCTCAGCGGAAAAAAATTTGGGGGTCCATGAAATCAATATGGGGATCCACGATAGTGGATCTCAACACATACTCTGATAGTACCTATTTACTTACATCATACTATCTTATAATATCAAAACATATACATTATTTATAAAAGTACCTATGAAGTAAAAAATGTATTATATATGTTTATAAAATTGTGTAAGTTGTAGGATGTTGGTATTCGCATTGTGGTCGCAATACATTTTGAACTTGTAAAAACCTGAGAGTCGCAGTCTCAGAGCTTCGCTACCTTGCACTGACTTGTTCAATTCGTCACTCTATAAATACGAATGTGGGACAAATACGTTTATTCGTTTCCTGAATCTTGAAAAGGAAAGTGCTAAGCAAATATTTTAAAAAATATAAACAGATAGTATATCACACAAATTATAGTGAGTCAGTGTTATTTTATTTGAGAGTGCTGGAGAAAAGTAAGTACATTATTTTTTATTAAATTTTAGTTTTGTACTAGTAGTTATCAAAAATAGATAAATTACGTGAAACATGACCTTAGTTATTGGTATTTAAATATTCAATCATACAAAATTACACGAGTACTCCTCAATAGTTTCTTTTTGAAAGTTTTAGCAATCGGTAATATAATTGTGTGCAATCTCCGTAATTCGAGCTAATTGTTGCAAGAAGATGTTCGAGTTATGGAATGTTTTCGGAAAAATCAAAAAATATTTTAAATATACAGCTGCTGGATTTTCTGTCTTATTTAAATACTTTAATTTTGCCCACAGATGACTGATGCCATGTCCGAATCTAAAAAGAAATGTAGACAGTACAGTGTTGATTATTTGAAATTTGGCTTCATTCCATCATTGCCGGACAAACAATCGCCTATGTGCCTTTTATGCAACAAAGTTTTGGGCAATGACGCTATGAAACCATCTAAACTGCAAGATCATCTGAGAAGATGCCACCCTGATAGAACAGAGAAAGATTTGAAATACTTTCAAACACTCAAAGATAAATTTCAGAAGAGACCTACACTGGACAGAATGTTCGCTTCGACGTCACAAAGAAATGATGGTTTGCGGGCGTCTTACAATATCTCGTTACTTATAGCAAAATCCGGAAAACCGCATACTATCGGAGAGAAGTTAATTTTGCTAGCCGTTGAAGAGGTTTTAAAAACTGTTTTACACAAACCTGCATCTGATATCATTAAAAGAATTCCCTTAAGCAACAATACTGTTGAAATACGTATTGATGAAATGAGTTCTGATATTGAAAGCTTCTTATGTAATTATTTGCAAACGACCCATTTCTCTATATAACTGGACGAGTCAACTTTACCTGATAATGCAGCATTATTATTGGCTTATGTTCGTTTTATTATGAATCAAGAAATCTACGAAGAACTGCTCTTCGCAAGAACTTTGATAACCGACACTAAAGGTGAATCAATATTTCTTGTTTTGAAGGATTACTTCATTGAAAAAGCAATGCCTTTATCAAATATAATATCAGTATCTACAGATGGAGCACCTGCCATGGTTGGATGTTATCGTGGATTTATAAGCTATTTAAAACAAAATGTGTCAGGGGTGTTGGCAATACATTGCGTCATCCATCGACAACATTTAGTTGCTAAAAATTTGAGTGTTAGATTGCATGAATCACTTCATTTAGTCATTGATGCAGTAAACCGAATCCGAAGCAATGCGTTGAATATGCGGTTATTTGCGCAGTTGTGTGAAGAAAATGACGAACACATTCATCAATTACTCCTACTGAAGTACGCTGGCTGTCGAAAGGCGTATGTTTGACAAGATTTTTTGCCCTTTTTGAGACTATTTTAGAATTTCTGGATACTGAAGATAAAATTTTAAAAGAAAATTTAATGAAGAGGAAAACAGACATTGCCTATTTAACAGATTTGTTTACAAAATTTAATATGGTTAATTTGCAATTACAAGGCGACAGTTTAAATATGATTAAAACAAAGTCCATCTTATCAGCGTTTCTTGAAAGATTTAAACTAATGAAGCAAAATATTGGACGGGGCGAATTTTCTCAGTTCCCCAATTTGTCACAGACAAGCTGCCAGGAAGACGACGTTTCAACTTACGTTCAACATTTAAATGCCCTCTATTCAGATTTTGAATCTAGGTTTGAGGGTATTTTGACTATGGTAATACCACCGTGGATAATTAATCCATATGGTGACATAGAAGAAACGAATGTCATAATACAAGAGGAACTGACTGAACTAAGTACAAACGAAGAACTTAAGGTTCAGTTTAAAAACGGATATCATCAATTCTGGCTGCAAAACAACATACCCGTTACTTATCCCGTATTATGGAATATAGCGAGGAAATTTTCAATTTCCTGTCCATCGTCATACCTAGTGGAAAGGGGGTTCAGCGCTGTTAGCAATCTCCTAACGAAAAAAAGAAACAGACTGGACATCATTAGCCGAGGAGATTTAAGATTAACCGTTACAAAATTGACGCCAAATGTTGATAATTTATTATTAAAGTATCAGGTTCATCCTTCTCACTAAAAATATTGACTTATTGCTTATGTTATTTTATTTATAGTTTATTTTATGTTTATTGGTGTCTGACCAAGAAATGCCCGCATTGGGAATAAGTGCCCGCATTGATTTTTTTAAAGAACCCCCCTTTATAGAAAATATTTTTTTTCAATTATTCTGAAAATTCAAGGATAGGTACACACTAAAATTCGTTAATTTTTTGCCTATTTTTAGATAACTTAAACGTATAAGAAGCGGAATTTAATCAAACTAACAGTGAAATTATTGTAGAACATACGTTTATGTTATAATTAATAAGCGAACTCGCTTATTGTACTATTTTAAGTAAAAAACTTTTTTTTTATTATTTTTCACTTTTTTTGAATTGTTTACCTCTAATTTTTTTTTCAATGCGGGCACTTATTCCCAATGCGGGCACTTATTGGTCAGACACCTGTTTATTTAATGCTACGTATATTTTACATAACAGATACAAAATTTTATTTTGAGTAGTTTTAATTTAAATTCAATTAATAAATGTATAAATTAACATGTGTTTTTACTTTAAGTTTTTAACACTAAACTTCACTACAGTTAGACATTTACAGGAAATCAATATCAGGTAAGTAGGGGGTCTACCCAACACGGAAAAACATGGCAAGGGGTCTACGACACAAAAAAGTTTGGGGAACTCTGCTCTAAAGCTTCAAAAAACGAAGTTAAGCGATTTTTATTTTTTCCGTTTCTCCTGCCGCCACTGGACCGCTTTTCAAAAACTACAAAGCTTTTGCGTCTTTGGCATAGTCGGTACATTATGTAAAATTTCGAAATCCGAGCGGTACTGCTCAAAGTTTTAGGCGGTTATAAGATTACCGTACAGATTGAGAGACAAACTGACAGACAGACAGGCAGACCGACGGATATTAGTTACATGGTTTTTCATGATGTACTTGTCTTATAACATCCAAAAATCGCAACGTAATACTTCCTCGCCCTGTGACGTAGAAAGTAAAAATGAACTGCCACAGTTTAGAATCAGACGATTTGAGTGGCACCACTCAACTCATTTCATTATTATAACTTTATGGATGGATTGAAACAATACATTAATCAACTTCAAGCGGATAACCAAATGGAAATAGTATTTACCATTTTGAGTTGGTATTTACCGATCCGTTCAAGCGAGTGTAGTTATCAGTTTGGTTATAAGATCCGTGACGTCACGAATCAGCTGTTATATGTCATAGTTATCACCGCAAAATTGTGGTATTTACCCAACTCAAGAGTAGTTTTATATTTCTGGTTATTATTTGAAATGTGACAAGTTAGAATTTTGGCGGGTTTTGGATATTGTTATTCTACTTCAGCTTCATTTTTGAGAAAATTGATACAGGCTGACTTCAGTTTTACCATAAAGTGGAGCACCTTATTATATTCATTACGGTTGTTGGGGACACTTTAAATGTAGTTCCTATACTTAACAAAGTATTCTGTGTAGCCATATACCACAAGATTATTAAAATATGGCCATATAAACTCACTAGATGATATCTACCTGTATACGGTTTTGCTAATTTCTTTTGTCATCATTTCTGCTGAATCAATAAATGTTTTCTTTGACATGCGGAAAAATTTAGAGAATTGAAAGTTATCATAGCTACAAAGAAAGGGTTCCATCATTAAAAAAAATCTGAAAAAAACATTTCTCCCATGAATATTATGAAAGGTTTCTTATTTAAACTTTCCATACACAGTTGTAGACGAAATAGCACCGATTATTAAGTGATAATAAAAATAATCAGAGATTATATACGCGCTTTTCTAAAATAAACAACTTGCAACAAAACCGCGGTTAAAACCAACGCGTTCAAGCGATTCGTGTAACTGACGTCATCAACCCGTGTGTCATCTTGAACCATATTATAACCGCGGCACATAACACAAAAATTTTGGTTATTCGCTTGGATTTGATTATTTTGTTGTAGCGCTGACAATGACAGATGTGTCAACTGTATTTATGGCATGTGAGTTAGACAATCGACCATTGACGTTTGTTTTCAGCTGCCTCTTCGATAAGAAGGATATAACCCAGATCAGAATAAAGCCTCTAATGCCTATGCTATACAGTTTTTGTTCAATGAACTATAGGCATGAGTACGCAGATCGAAAACATTTCTCTATCATCCTAAGGCCGTTTCCTGATTTGTCGGTGCGGTATCGGTGCGGCGGCGGTATGCTCGGTATACGCGACACCGAAAGCTTACCGAGCGCCTATATTTCAATGAGTTCTTCCTGCTTAGCGCGGATTGTGCGGGAGCGGGGTGGGATCCGTTCGGTTTACCGCGTCTCGGCACGCTCGTCCAGGCGGCGCTCGGCCCGGATATCAGATATCTTGAAAAGTGACATTATGCCGATTTTTTTGACATTATGTAGGTTATTCTACAAGATGTTAACTTAGCACTTAGTTGTACGTGTTGCCTAAACGTCATGAGGCTTATTATCAATCTTTGGCTCTGATGTGACGTGAAATCTGCTTCTGAGATGGCATTACTGGAGGTCTAAGCTGTAAGTTGTATGTGTTGATGATAATTACATTGGGTTCTTTCTCAAATACACTTAATTGAGATTCAAAGCTAGAAATTAGTTGCGCATCTACTTTTTCTTATCCATTCTGGAAATTACATACCTATACAAATTTGCTGAATTTCAAAAATGAGAGAGATAAGAAATAATTATATTCACTGTACACTGTCGAATTACAAGCCATATACATGCTAACAGTAATTACACACAACGCGGGCGCGATGATGATTTCCCGTAATTCTCCTCAGTTTTTCGTACTTTATAACTTTGAACATAACCTCTCTTCAGAAAGCAAAACATATAAATAACCCATCATATTCGGCATATTCAGTAATGATTTTCCCACGCAGCAAATATCACTGATTTTATACACATGCTGACCAATACACATAATCATCCAGATACGATATTGCTAATTCAACCAACGTTCATCTCAGAGATAACAACTAGACCCGGATCACTCAGCCTCACAAAACTGTGCAACCAATAATGCGCAGTTTAGTTGAGTGATTCCTCCATAGATGGACGATCCTAGTGAGCAAACGTGGAATGACTTGTTTGCGCCCTAAAAACTACCTAGTCTGCAAGTTGACATTTTATAGGTTTTTTTGACGTTTCATAGGTTTTTTACATGATACCCGTGCGGGATTCACCGCAAGTATACGCACATGCACTGCAAAATGGCGGAAATACATTTAAGTTTAGTACTGAAAAGTACCCTGTGTTGTTTAATTATTAGATTCAAAAGCTGTTGATATGTTTCTTTTGACATTCTATACATAAATAAAAATTTTGTATCATCATGAGAAATTTCTTTAGCTGCAACAAATAGTCGACAGTTAATATTATTTTCGATGTAAGGATGACGCCAATAAGCTTTTCTTTTTTTACGTATACGGAGATACAAATAACACGTCAAAATATCATCATCACTCGAACTCGAAGACGACATCTCGCCACAAAACAAGCCGTACTGCAGTATTTCATACCGAGAATATACCGAGTAATGCGTAGATGGAAGTAATTCGGTATTGATTCGGTAACAGAGCATACCGATACCGCACCGACAATCAGGAAACGGCCTAAGTTTTAAAGGCAAATATACAGGCAAATCTATGATGTGTGAAATATGGCTAATAGGTGCATAGAATTACCGGTGTTGGGAGCGTATAAATATACTAAGATCAAAAAAAATCATATACCCCTCCCTAC